CAGCAAGAAGCCTCCCAGATCTCCAGATGCATTTGAGATATCAAAAAAGTACTCCAGAGTGTTGTTCAGCATGGGGGTGAGTAGAAAATGAAGGCTAATCATGTTTTGGGTGTACTATTCCTTTAAGGAGTGGATTGCATCTTCAAACTCCACTACTCTTGCTAGGTTTGTTGCAAAACCGTCCACAGATCGAACAGGTAGCGCTCTGATGCAGGGATGGGAATTTTCTACAATTTTTTTTCCTCAAATCCAATTGCAGTGAAGGGTGGTGCACGGTGAATTCCACCTGGTGAGAGCGTTCACTGCTCGTCCCTCACCTCATGCTACTGTGTGACATTTGCTCCAGGATAAACATTTAATCAGAAATAATTATTATGGAGCAATGGAGCTTCGGGTTTATGCAGGGGCATCAAACAGCAGCTGGCTATGTGGAGATGTTGAAGCGGGCATTTCTCATGACTGAGGGCCCTGGTCTGTGTGGTAATGATTGGGTTTTTCAACAGGACAATGCTGCAGCTCACATTGCCCGCCTGACAAAGGAGTTTTTCCTAGAGAATAACATCTCTCTTTTGGACCATCCTGCATGTTCCCCGGATCTAAACCCAATTGAGAACATTTGGAGATGGATGGCAAGGGAAGTTTACATAAATGGACATCAGTTCCAGACAGTGGATGCCCTTGGTGAAGCCATCTTCAACACTTGGAGCAACGTTCCCACTAGCCTCCTGGAAACACTTTTTTTTTTTTTTGAGCTATGGTCTTAAACTTTTGATCAGCTGAAACAAATCATGTTTGAGTGTAAATGTAGTTTTTAATTAATTTCGCCGCTCAAAAGTTTTTGTCTCTTTCTTCTTTTAACATTGTGAAGCTCTACTTAGAACCTTGTTTAGATCCAATAGTGCAAAATGCTAATTCTTGCAATTTTTTGACTGGTCTTAAGATTTTGATCAGGAGTGTATTTAGGGCAGGGGTCACCAACCTTTTTAAGGCTGAGGGCTACTTCATGGCTACCGAATCATAGGAAGAGCTACCAATACTGACCTATGAACTGGAGGGATCAGTGTTCCCCTACAGTAAATCTCATCCATAAAAACTCATTTTTATTCTTATTTTATTCTTTTATAATTTTCTTTTTAATATTGTCATTTTGAAACCACTGAAATATGATGAAATAGTTAACATGAGGAAATAATATATAAATGATTAAAAAGAAGAGCAACAGAATATAAAAAAAAAATTAAACTTAACCCACTGAGTGAGTTCTTCTGTTTTCAGAAGACGAAGAGGGCACCCCATGTGGTCCTTGAGGGCCCCTTGGTGCCCGCGGGCACCGCATTGGTGACGTCTGATTTAGGGTCACATATTCCTTTTTTTATAGTGGGCTAATATACTTAGAGCCCGTGTTGACACATGCGACTCTTATAAGACTTGCGTTTTTGTGGCTCCAGACAGATTTGTTCTTTTTGGTCCAAAATGGCTCTTTGAGCAGTTTGGGTTGCCGACCCCTGACATAGAGCCTCGCAGGAGACCGCATTTAAATATCGAGGCATAGTTAGGAGGGCCAAACATCACACATAACCTTCGCACTTTTATTTTACTGTTGTCTTCCTGTTTTCATGGTGCCTTACAGAGAAGCTTTTACAGCTCACTGCTTTCCTATTTGTCGCCATCAGAGCGAGCAGCCCTGAGAGGCAACTGTACATCAGCCAGACAGTCCATCACCGGAGTTCCCTCACACTCATGCAGCTCATTACCTTGATGCAGGTGTGGTTCTGAGGTGTGCAGAGGGGCTGCAGCAGAGCGATGGAGGCTGGTGATAAAGGAACAAAAGAGAAGAAATGGAGAGCGACTGGTCTGCGGCGTCTCTCCAATTACACGTCTCCTGTGAGCCATGGCTCAGAGAAATGGCCCACAGTGTCGCTTAGGCCCTCCTAATTGGCTCAGCAAAGAGAGGGGGAGTGAGAGCCAGAGAAGGACCGGCACATTTTCTGAGCTCCCCCGTGAAGGCCAGCAGGAGGTAGATGATAGGCAGCTCTGCAGCGTTTCCTCATGTCTACGCTCCAATCTTGGCGCGCCATTTCTGAGAGTCTAACTCCTCTAGTTTCCCACTAATGAGGAGCCATTGCTGCCCTTTTGACTTGTTTGTGCCGTCTCTCCTGTCATCATTACCATTTTTATGACTATTGTGAGCGGCAGCGTGGGGCTGCCTGAGGCTCATGTGATGTGGGTTCCTCCGGAGGGGACCCTGTTTAATAATTGAACATCCTCACAACTGAACTTAAGTGTCTGTGGCTTTATTCCGCGCTAGCTGAAAAACAAAAGTTCAAATCGTTGAAGCTGCAATGATTATCTGTCAGCAAAAGCAGATTTTTACCACTATTTCTCATTAAATTAGGCTGAGCAGAACATTTTATGACCCCCCACCTCTCGCTAAGGTGCACAGTGTTAATGACGACTTGAATGGCTTCACAATTTCCAGGAAACTTTACAGTAAAAAGTAAAATCAAACTACTAAGAAGAATCATTATTTAAACAATGGAGTATCATCCTTAACACTGCATGTATAATAATATAAACTGATACACAAATATTAATGAAGAACTTCAATTTCTTCCATTTGCACGGCGAAGCTGAGTGATCACAGGTTCTGCTCTTATCTGTGTGAAATGCTTATGGTTTTATGAGTTTTATTTCGAGAAGTCGTTACTGATTAACTGACCAACGCTGTGATTTCTGGTTTCAAATGCAAATAAAACTAAGAAGACTGGAGTCCTTAGAAAGTTAATCAAACTGAGACATTTTTCCTTAAGCCACATTCCTGGCTGGATTTTATTTACTAACTGTTGTAGATATCTTAACATAACAATTTTAAATACCCCATAGTTTTTATAAAGCTGTTGCTGTTAAAGTATGAGCAGTAAACCTCTAACACGTGGAAACCTAAAAGGTTTTATTGTTGCCTGTCACAGCAATGAATGGAGGGCAGCGTATCCCATAGCAACGCATATCTACACGGCTAAAATATAGCTAATGTTTGACGTATCAGCTAATGATAGCTTATAACATTATATTATCGTAGCTAATATGCCAACAATAACAGAACGTTTTTCTTAATGTCATACATTTTTATATTAGCTGGTCTGTTAGCATAGCTAATGTTATACTCTCTGTTAAAGAGGGTGTAGGTACCAGACCGGCTCAATGACATCAACATATGGCAACTCCACTCGGACAAACTGTATGGCACCCGTTTATTAAGGATCAAATCTCTTTTGGAATCTCAACATATCATTACCTATATTTTGTATTATTTTACATTTCATTTGCGTTCTAAAGTAGCTGAAAGTAGAAAACAATCATCGTTAATCTTGAAGGAAAGTACTGCCTTCTAAGACTGAGCTCTGCCATTTAACAAGGTGACAAAAAAGTCTCAGCTTATTTTTATTCTTTTTATTAAGATCTGAGGCCAGAGGAGGAACAATGGAACATCTTAAAAATGATTTTCATAGACATCTTAGACAAAGAAAAGTTATTCTACTTGTAGAGAACGAACAGTTGTTTAGCTTAATATGGCTAACTGACCGAGCTAAAAAAGGCTAACCTGTTAGCTACAGAACAAAGCGCTACCCAGCTCTCTCCCTTTATATAATGGTGTTGCAGTTACTTTGTTCACCATAAACAGTTTCTATTCCGTTTTGTTATGGATCAGGCAGAACTTCAGTCATTAGACACACTAACAGCCTGGTTATACTCCTGCAGTGTGTCGCAGTTAGCTTTTCGCAGGTATGATGCATACATTTTTGAGTTATGCCTGATATTAAAGCGTGGTCTGCGCTTTGTTATTCCACGCCACAACGCAAGAGGGACAATCAGGTACTGGGTCTGGATAAGGTCAAGGCGGTGAAGAAGTGGGATAAATTTTTTGCGATAACAAAGGGACATGAAGGCGAAAAAGAGCGGGGATCCAGGTAAAACAAAAGGTCCCAGCATTCTCGCGCATCTCGCTCTTCTAGCTCGTCCATCTTCAGTCGTTTTTTTCACAATGGCGGTCATACAAACAAAACCAGCCTGTAAGGGACCAAAAAGGAAATACGCATAGTGTAGAGCGGATGTAGATTTGACCTAACAGAGGCCTCCGGTACCAGCAGAGTGTCTGCAGAAGGGGCGGGGGGCCCCTAACACAATGTAACACAATGGTGGAAAATGACGAAATTAAGCACATTTTTACGTGCCGGAGGCGTCCCCAATGTTGCTATTTCATTAATGGAAGACCAGAGATGATTAAAAAGAGAGCTAGGCCGTTTCTCAATATGCGTTCTTGAGCTTTCTGATGTAGTCGTGACACGTCATCAGCCTCAGCCCGAGCACTGTTCCAATTGCCGAGAACGCCAGACCGAGAATGCACCAAATCCCTGGGTGTTGTTCTCGCCCCGCCCTTTTTATCGAGTATGCATCAGAGCAGACTTATCCGTTCTTGAGATTGACAGCTGTCCCAGCATGCACAGCAGCAGCAGCAGCTTTCAATCGCGCACTTTTCTTTTGTTGTTTAATAAAAGTACATTTTAAGATCATTTGAGGCAAGAATATTATACTTTAATGCGTCACTATATGGTCCATTTACCGATTTAGCAGCCCTGTCTCAGCATAGCCCTGTGTGAAGGACCGCTGGCTCTGATGGCGATTTTTTTTTGTTTTATTTGGCAAAATGTTAATTTAATTTGTGTTTATCTGACTGTGTTAATTATTATTATTCACCCACTAAATGAAAAAAGTTATTTATTATTATCTAGAGACTATTAATAACAGGTGAAATGCAGACGAGCTGAGCGTGTGGTGACGTCACAAGTACGCTTCTGTTCCAATTGACCCATATTTATGCTGCGTGCTCCCGTTCTCACAAAGTCCAGACTTTACTGTGTTCTTCTCAAGAACATACTAGGTGAGAACAGGAGTCCGTACTCCCGTTCTAGTGAATGGAGAAATGGCCCTAGTCTCTAAAACAGACATGGCTACGGCTTGATGCTAACATGTTAGCTAGCTGTCGGAATTCAGTCAGAATTCTGAGATTAAAGTCAGAATTCTGACTTATTTTCCATATCAAACTGAAACAATATTTACAAATTAGTTAGCTCTAATCCTCCTCTGTAGGTCTTTTCTTGTTGTGGTCATGTTTGTCTTTACCCATGCTACCGACGCTGCACTCCCAAAGCTCCCATTCTGTGGGGTGCCTTTGCCGGAGATGCTGAAACAAGTTAGTTGCACACTACTGTAGTTTGCTCCACATCGGCCTTGTCAAAGCCGAACCACTTCCAAATAATCAACGAAACAACGAGTCCCTTTTCTCAGTACCAACTCTTCAGATTGGACGGCAGCTATGGCGTGAGTAAGCAGTGCAGCATGCTATTGGGTGGAAAGAGGCGGCGGAAGCAAACGCGCAAGTAAATTATGCAGAAGAAGATACTTTCTAGATTTTACGATTTAGCAAAAAACCAAATGGTGAACTTTTAAAAACAAGAATTAATCGAAATTAATTTCCTTTATCGCCTAACCCTACAGGAAAGTAAACAATGGAGAGTAGCATGTAAGGAAGCCAGCGTGTAGTAAGTGTGCAGTATTGTTTCACTCTTCTCTCTCTCGAAATCCCTCTCACCATAAGAAGAGTTGTTTCAGGTTGTGACTGGCGTGGAGTGTTGTATCGGTACTTTGCGCTCAATGGTGTCACGTCAATTAGCAGGAACCAGCTCTGGTGTTTCCCACAGCATGCTGATCAGAGCAGAGGCCATTTTAACGCGAGTCGCTTGCAGAGGTATTTGACCTGATCAAATTTAAAGACCTTATAAACATGAAGACTATGAAGCCAACCCTCAGGCACTATGTGATCTGACTCAGAGGGACTATAAAGTCATGCCTTTATGCAGAAAGTTGGAGATCTGCTTTTCAGCTTTTAATGTGGTCCAAAATACTTTGCTACAGTTGAAACTAACTAAATGCATGCTTTTCACAGACCTTTGGAACAGGCCACTGAATGTTCCTTCAGTGGTTACTCTTGATGGACGTGAAATACAGATAGTTTCAACTTATAAGTATCTTGGTATTGTCATTGATGACAACCTATCATTTAAGCCTCATGTTCACTGTCTAGTTGAGACTAAAATTGGGTTTTTACTTTCGAAATAAGCTGTGCTTTTCTTTTAATGTAAAAAAACGGTTGGTGGCATCCACTTTTTTAACTGTGCTGGACTATGGTGATATATTATATATGCATTCATCTGCTCAATGCCTGCAGATTGACGCAGCCTATCATTAATTACTAATTGTAAAGCTCGCACCCATCACTGTGAGCTGTATTCTCGTGTAGGGTGGTCTGCATTGCCTACACGGAGACTTTGTCATTGGTATATATTTATATATAAGGCTATTCTTGGTGCGCTTCCATCTTATTTATGTTCACTTCTTATGAAAAAAAGTACTGGTCATTACTCTCTCCGTTCTCAGGCTGTTGTCTTGTTTTCTGTCCCACGTGTCAGTACTGAGCTGGCTAAAAAGGCCTTACTCTGCTCCCTTTACATGGAATTTACTGCAAAATAACTTGAAACTTAGTAAATTGGTTCCTTTGAAGCTGAGAAAGAGATGTTTTGAGTTGGACTCCCTCACATGTCAATGTTTTAATTGAAATTTTATCATAAGTGCATATTTGGCTTTTGTGTGTCTTTGTACGTATGTAATGATGTGATGTAATTTTGATGCCTATCTTGGCCAGGTCTCGCTTGCAAAGAGATTTTTAATCTCAATGGGTATTACCTGGTTAAATAAAGGATAAAAAAAAAAAAAAACATACGATAAATGTTTGGCTTCTCACCAGAACTGACAGTCTCCAGGGCCTCCTGCTCAACGTCCACCTGATGGTAATGGCGGATACAGACGCGACTGTCTATCTGGTAGAGGAGGGCGGGACACAGGTAGGTGAACTCACTCTTGGAGATGACGGAGTCAGGCTGCAGGCCATAGTAGGTGAGGAGCTGAGTCAGGTTCAAGCACTGTGTGGGCAGGAAACATGTTCAAAAAGAACGTAAATACCGGGAAAAAACGCAGACTTTAAAACAACAACTCATTGGATTACACAGCTAAACACTTAGAACTTTTTGGGGTGAAGAGAACAAACACAGAGGCATCCAAAAACTGATAATGTGATTATGATTCATGGTGAAGTCCTACCTCCTCATGCTGGTGCGAGTGTCCTGCATGTGCTATGAGCCCCGATGAGGCAGCCAACCCTGGAGCCTCTCTCTTGTCTTTGTGAGCGCCACTGTGGTCATGATCATCAGTTGGAGGCGCTTCAGTTGAAGGGAACTTGTTTGACCTGCCCTGACCTCTGACCTTTCCCGGCTTCCTGGTCCTTGCAGGATTTTCCGTCGGCGTTACACTTGGCAGTGCTGGCTCATCTCTATGCTCTTTATGACTGTGATGGTCGCTGCTGTGGTTTGTGGGGCTCTGATGGGGAGTAGAAGACGGGTCTTTGTGGTCAGGCTGGACCTCTGTGTGCTGGTGTTGATGGTCTTCATCATGTGTGTGATTATGGTTGTGGTCATGGGTATCATGATCATCATCACCGTGTTTATGGTCATGATTTGTTGGCCCCCCAGTAGCAGTAGTGGGGCTGCAGCGCGTGGGAACCTGTTCTACGTGTGGGTGATGGTGCTTATGGCCCGAATGATCGTGACTGTGGACTTTACTGGAGGATGTATGTGAGTGTAGCCCATTTTGCACATCCAGCAGGTCGAGGTGTGCCACGTGGTCATGACCGATATCCTCATGATCCACGGCAACCAATTTAACTGATCCTAAACCCAGGCTATGGAGGAGACTCTCAAAACCCTGGAAATCCAAGCGATCCTTCTGCCCATAGCGCCTAAACAGCTGTTGGATGTAGTAACGCTGTTCTTCCTCTAGAGGTGGCCCTTCAGGACTGTTTGAGTCCGGGGATACGGTGGTGGAACGAACATACGGAGCCTCAGAAATCTGTAGGTCGCTGTGCTGATGTAAGTCGCTGGCGTGGTCATGCCCTTCCACGTGGCAATGGTTGCAGTGATGAAAGATGAAGGTGATAACGCACAGGAAGCAGAATTTCGTGTGTACATGTACTCGCATTGTGTCCTTTTTATTGGTCCCCTGTAAAAAACAAACAAACACAGAATGAGTTAAAAAAAAAAACAATCAACTGGAGTTTGTTTTCAAGTTTGAAGACGTTTCACTTCCCGTCCATTTTCAATTGAAAATGTCAGTAAATACAGTGCCACAACAAAGTCTTGTTTTTGTTTCGAGAAAATGCAAATTGAAACAGGCGAATGGGTGCATCCCTTTGGAATGGGGGACACAGAGTGACTTTTATACGACAGTCGGGCAAAAAAAGAGAAACCTCTGGTGATCACGGTTCTGATTAATACTCAGACAAACAGCAAAGGGTTTGAAATAAACTAATTCATTGAAATTAAGCTGAGTGCTGATTTAGACCAGTTAAGGTACAGAAACACTAATGAGCCCAAAAGTATATACATTTACTCACTAAAAAAACGGCTTGATGCATTGCTAACTAGGGCTGGGTATAGTTCAAAAATTTTCGGTGCCGGTACAAATACGGATACCTTCACTTCGATACCGGTTCCAGAACGATACTTTTTTTCGATACCAGTTTTATAATATCAATTCGAAGAAAAAGAAAATTACACAACATAANACAGTTGAAACTTGTGCTCAATGCAGAAAAAACTAAATGTATGCTTTTCACAGACCTTCGGAACAGGTCACTGAATTTTCCTTCAGTGGTTACTCTTGATGGTCGTGAAATACAGATAGTTTCAACTTATAAGTATCTTGGTATTGTCATTGATGACCACCTATCATTTAAGCCTCATGTTCACTGTCTAGTGAGAAAGTTGAGACTAAAATTGGATTTTTACTTTCGAAATAAGCTGTGCTTTTCTTTTAATGTAAAAAAACGATTGGTGGCATCCACTTTTTTAACCGTGCTGGACTATGGTGATATATTATATATGCATTAATCTGCTCAATGCCTGCAGATGATTGACGCAGCCTCACGCATCATTGAGATTTATTACTAATTGTAAAGCTCGCACCCATCACTGTGAGCTGTATTCTGGTGTAGGGTGGTCTGCCTTGGCTACACACAGGCTTTGTCATTGGTATATATTTATATATAAGGCTGTTCTTGGTGCGCTTCCATCTTATTTATGTTCACTTCTTATGAATAAAGTACTGGTCATTACTCTCTCCGTTCTCAGGCTGTTGTCTTGTTTTCTGTCCCACGTGTCAGTACTGAGCTGGGTAAAAAGGCCTTTGCTTACTCTGCTCCCTTTACATGGAATTTGCTGCAAAATAACACGAAACTTAGTAAATTGGTTCCTTTGAATACTTTTAAGCTGAGAATTAGATGTTTTGAGTTAGACTCCCTCATATGTTTTAATTGAAATGTTATTGTAAGTGCATATTTGGCTTTTATGTGTGTGTCTTTGTACGTATGTAATGATGTGATGTAATTTTGATGCCTATCTTGGCCAGGTCTCCCTTGCAAAAGAGATTTTTAATCTCAATGGGTATTACCTGGTTAAATAAAGGATAAATAAAAAAAAATAAAAAAAACTAGAATAACACAAAAT